CCTGTTAGCCACTGTTGGCCTCTGTTGGCCCCTGTTAGCCTCTGTTGGCCCCTGTTGGCCTCTGTTGGCCCCTGTTAGCCTCTGTTGGCCCCTGTTTGTCTCTGTTTGCCCATGGTGGCCACCGTTGGCCACTGTTGGCCACTGTTGGCCCCTGTTGGTCTCTGTTGGTCTCTGTTGGCCTCTGCTAGTCCCTGTTGACCCCTGTTTGCCACTGTTGGTCTCTGTTGGCCCCTGTTGGCCCCTGTTAGTCTCTGTTGGCCCCTGTTGGCCACTGTTGGCCCCTGTTGGCCTTTGCTAGTCCCCGTTGACCCCTGTTGGCCACTGTTGGCCCCTGTTGGCCAGTGTTGGTCTCTGTTAACCCCTGTTGGCCCCTGTTTTTCTCTGTTGGCCCCTGTTGGTCTCTGTTGGCCCCTGTTGGCATCTGCTAGTCCCTGTTGGCCCCTGTCTAGAATTATTAAAGGTAGGTAGATTTTCTCTATTTGCTGATGATGGAGCAATTTGGAAGAGAGGGAGGAATTTGGAGTTTATTACTAAATAGATACAGGAAGCTATTGGTAAAGTTGAAGAGTGGTCAATAAGATGGGATTTAAATTCCCAGTGGATATATATATATATGTATATATATATATATATGAGATTAAGTAGATCAGTAATAGATTATGGAAGCATTGTTTATAATTCAGCAGCAGAGACAAATCTAGAAAAAAAGGGTCACATTCTGTATCCAACATTGAGATTATGTACAGGAGAAATTAAAATTACTCCAAGAGCTGCATTATTAGTAGAAATGGCAGAAATGCCACTTGAAGAGAGCAATTAACATTAAATTATTGGGCTGATTTAACAGGTCATAGAAAGGATCATCCAACTCTGCAGGTAATTCAACACCGTTGGGAAAAAGAAGCAAAAGATATTAGAAGTTTTGGCTGGATTGTGCAAGAAAAAATACCAGAACTCAAAAAAGATCAGATTAATATAAGCCAAACAGTTCCATTATCAGTCATACATGGATGGTTCCAGATGTTAGGGTAGATTTTACTTTGTTGAAAAGAAGAAGACATTCATATTAAACTCATATATAGTACAGGATTATATTAATCAATATTATAAGTATGTTAAAATTTATACAGATTCTTCTAAAAATATAACAAATCAGAGTAGCTTTCATTATACTAGAATTCAATGTTAAAACTAAGAAGAGAATAAATGATGGATTTTCAGTTTATACAGGAGAAATGATTGCAATATTATTAGCTAAAGAAGTTAAGCCATTAAGATAAGTTATCTGTTCAGATTCTAGTTCATCCTTAATTAGTTTGCAGTATAATCACTCAGAAATCAGATAGAGATGATGAAACAGATGAAACAGTTGAACACGTAATGTTTGACTGTAATAAATATGAACAGGAGAGACAGCAATTAATTCAACATTTAAGTAAAGTAAAAGTTAAATTAGATTTATTTCAACTGTTCAGAAGTCATTCAGACGGTAACATTTACAGAATAATATTTCGATATCTAAAAATAAGACATTTAATAGAATTTAGTTCCTGAGTCGTTCCGATCCACACCAGTAGGTGGCGGAAATGCATCAATCTGTTGTTTGCAAACCGCCAAAAAAATGTAAATAAGAAGAAGAACGCGTTGTGTCGTCACACCACTGCTTTGATTGCAGCAGTTCCTGCGCGTTGCCGATGTTAGCGCGCGCCCATTCGCGCGCCTTCCGGTGGCGCGCTCAAAGAGGAAGTGAGAAAGCGGAAGAAGGAGGACGCTGAACAAACTTGACAACTTCTAGCTAAGAGGCTAGAAAACAGCTTTTAGATGTTATTGGTTTCCTCTCCATTAATCATCGGTTCTTTCAGTCACCGCTGAGGGACTTTAGCAGCTTTTCAAACAGCCGCCGCTCAGGGAACCAAGAACCGGGGCTTGGGGGGACAGGAGGCCTGCAGCTGCCGGGGAGAGGAGCGCTGTTAGCGGGGAAGGAGTCGCTGAAGCACCGCTCAGCAACATGTCGGCTCAGGCGCAGATGCGGGCGATGCTGGACCAGCTGATGGGGACGGCCAGAGACGGTAAGCCGGACAGACCCTCCGCTCGGTTAGCTGCTGTTAGCATTAGCCGCTAAGCTGTCAGCTAGCAGCATGAGGACAGCTAACCTGTTAGCATCCTGTTGCTCACTTTAGAGACACTTTTATAACTTTAAACTCCTATTTTAATCCCGTCACTGATTATAATCCTTCAGTCGAAGCTTTTTCACTTTAAATGGACTCTGGAGATGCTAACGGGGATGCTAACATGTGTGCTAAAACGATTTATTGATGTTTGTGTATAAAATGAGCCTTTTAGTAAGTGTGGTAGTTTAATGACGTCAGTAAATAATGACGTCGGCATAAAGAGCTGCTGTTGTGTTCCAGGAGACACCATGAGGCAGAGGATCAAGTTTTCAGATGATCGGGTCTGTAAAAGCCACCTGTTAGATTCATGTCCTCATGACATCCTGTCAGGCACCGTGAGTATCATCTATACACATATATCTATATGAGCTGAAGGGAATAGCTGAGCATTTACTGTCTTTATTCTCCAGGTGCACAGATCTATATCTTTACAGGATTTTATTCTTTATCTTCTAACTTTTCACTTTTATGTTATTCTTAGTCATTTCTCTAAGGTCCACATTTCTGTGACCATTTATGTCTATCATCTTTTTGCTGCTGGAAACTCTAGAATTTCCCCATTGTGGGACAATAAAGGGATTTTCTATTGTATTCTATTCTGTAGCATTGGGAGACAGAAAGATTAACGCTCAGTTACACTTTAGAAAACACCAGAAGTTAACTTGTCATGAATCTGAAGATCCTCATTCCTCCAGATTTGAGAAGTTTAGGCGATTTGAGAGACGTTCTGGATCGGAACGTTTGACGAGACGTTCTGGATCGGAACGTTTGACGAGACGTTCTGGATCGGAACG